TCCTCAGGGTACAGCCAATCCTTTTTTCGGGTAATGTCTGGCGGTGTTTCTCTCTGCAGGTTGCGCAAATTCCTGGTAATTCACACAAAAACATGTTTTTTTAACAGGAAAAATCGTAAATTAACGAGCTGAGCTTGACCCCACCCTTTTGACGCTAGGAATCTCATTTGAGGCAGAATGAGTTTCGTGCCCAGCCACCACCAATTTCAACCCAACCTCCCCGCCCCAACCTCATTTCAGGGTACCTCTAAATAACGACGTGATATCCCTTCTTGAAAGACAAAAACAATAACAAAAACCATTGTTTCTCCCAAAATAAGCCAGAATAATATGAGTTCTGGATCTGCACTTTTGTAATATTTCGCAACGATTAAAAGCAATGAGATCGAAAACAGTGCCGAATTAAATGAAACCTAGTGGAATCTGCGCAGTACCCGTAGCGACTAGAATCAAGCCCTACAAGGGGTGTCTTCCTGGGCTTTCCACGTCATAGAAAACACAGTAATATATATGTATACATATCAGTAAAAAAGGCTCCAAGAACAATTTTACTTACGCGAACCAACAGGCATGGTCTTTCCCACGATATATTTTATATCTCTAGCTATTTTGAAGTTAACAACATGTGCTCCAGATATCGCTTATTTTTTTCCACAATGTCTAGGATACTGGCAGGTTTTCGGCGCTTGTCAGTACTTTCCCAAGGCATAACAATGAGCAGGACAAACCATCATCTTCTCCAACTGTACCTCAGTGATATCTAACAGACCAGCTCTAGCTAATATTAGTTCCCTCTCAGAAACACTTTCCCTCGACAAGTGGTGTTTAAAGAGATGTGCACTGATATCAGCGTTACAGCTATTCAAAGCTACAAAATCTGTGCAACCTCGGCTATTTCCACATTTTCCACTTGTAACACTTAAAAACGAACACAATTCTGCCATTCTTGAAGCAAACAGTCCGAATCTTCTCTATAAAAAGCTTATTCCCGTCGCAAAGTAAATATTTTGGACGTCTTACTCAAAACATTTGCAAATTAAATTATTTCAAATTAGCTCAATTAATGAAACACTAAGGGAAAAACACACACACACACACACGCAAAAACAAGACATAAAGGAAATAATAAAAAAGATAACATTTGGAGGTGATATTCAAAATCAAAAGACGGCAATAAAAATGAATAATACTTGTACTATACTTAGCTGTATCACCTAAAAACAAGGACATTTCGACGAGCTTCTGCCTGAAATCGGCACTGCTGATATGTTATCCATAAAACTACATTTTCTGTTACACGATAAGGTAAATTTTTAGTGTTAATTGAAATAAAAAAAAAGTAGTACTCCTGACACTAACCATTTCTTTCGACAACTCGAAAATACCTGCGTGCGATGTAGTCAAAAATGGATCCGTGATATCGATTCTCAATGTAAAGAGCGTGACACATGACTGAATCAACCCATTCTTGTGGAGATGTTCTCAAGCACAGATAAGACATGAGGTTCTACATATTTTGAACTAACGTTTCTAAATCTGTAACTGACAGCAATATTAGTTTTTTACAGCATAAGACAGCGGTCAAGACTAACTTAATATAATTTTGTCAACATGTTTTCAGTTAGCCCGCATGAGACAGTTAAATCGTAATGTCACACAGAAGATGTCCATTTCTACCTTCGTAATTGCTAAATTTAGGGCAAGTTTGGATGAATTTATGGACATCTTCACCTTAACAAAACAACCGTGTTAGTTTTGAGAATAAGCACTGTCTCAAACATTGATTTTGAGCGAGAAATGGAGTAACCACAAATATGCATAAATTAAGTCATATGCACTTTGAACATTGAAAATTAGTAAAGTTCATCGAGCTCCTGTAGCTCGAAAAGACTAGTTGCCAAAAATGTTTTTATTGTTTTCGGCACACGAGCCCTAGTACTAATCACGGACAGTGGTGAGGACTCCAGATCCCGTTATACTTTTGAGAAAAGCGTCTTGGAGCAACAGCACACTAGCTCAAATTTGGAAAGTGCTGTTTGTGTGGTATTTTCAAAACAGCGTAATTCTTTATTGTTTGGTCAGAATTTACATATTTTGTTACTAATCAACAGAAGAGATGTAAAATGATACCATATGTCCGATTTATGCTATTTGAACAAATGCGTAAGGTTTTACAGCCTCCAGCGAAACGCTGAAAATTAATTCTGAAATCAACACTTTTCTTTGTTTTTGACCGTCCTCGCATCTCGTCGCCAAAAATTTGATAAAAAAGCATTACGAACCAAATAAATACAATTTCTCCGATAGAATAGATCAAATATCTCAAAGTAAAAATTTGAGGGAATTCTGTGATCGGCCGAAATTCGAGTGGTCGGTTCTTACGCGGACAGCCTCATGAGCTGGTAGAGGATTGGAAACGGACACTGGACAACAAACACGTGATCGGAATATTA